CGAATGGACTCAGTGATCCGTTTGTCACGATATATTTAATGTCAAACTCTTCACATAGGTATAATACTTCAGTGAAATCAGGCACCCTTAATCCTTCATGGGAGGAACATTTTTCATTGTAAGTATTAAATTGTGCTCGTAGCAACTTTCTTAACACTCAGATTAATCGTTACTAGATTTGTAAACTATTACTAAAACATTTACGATTGCATTAGTTAATGGCAAAGCAGGCCTTGATCCAGCCTGGATTATATTCGTTATGTTTTGTTTTAGCGAATGATTCTGCTTGTATAAATAAAAGTCAACAGTCAGTTTACAATCTCTTATTCTCTTTGAAAATAAAGATATATTAATGTTTTTGGTAGTGGAAACTCACGCTTTAATTCTCTATTTTCAGACCGATGTCTTCAAATCTGCACGAAGATTCATTGATTTTAGAAGTATGGTAAGTAACAAATAACCTGTATTTTAGTTTTTCAAAGACTGGGCAGATAAAATATCTTTGTACTGACGAATCCCATCGAATGTGTATTGAGGATGAGTTAAAAAACTACTTTTTTATATTACGAAAACACTATATTTTATCCTATGTTTGTTGTTGCAGGGATTTTGATCCAGCAGAGACGGTAAAAGAAAAGTTAACAAAGATACTCGAAGTAAAAGGTGCAAAAGGTCTGGGAAAGCTGATGAAGGAGATTGCTATTACAGCATCCACGGGGAAACACGACAACGAGCTCATTGGGACGTCCAACATTCCACTCAAGGTTAGTAAATAATTCAATTCCTATTAAATAATAAATTCATTTACTTTAACACGATCTTGCAGTTTATTAGGTTTAGTTTATTATATTTATTGGTATACAATTCAACGTAAATATTCAAAACCCGACGATTTTAATCACTAAGCGACTAAAATGCATTACCATATAGCTTCAGAAACCGCGCGCGTCGCGTACATTTGATTCTTTTGTCGCCATCACCAAGTCGTTCACAAACTATTTATGTAGATCATCGTGAGAGTCGACAAAATCGCTGCAATTTTCAACATGGCGGAGCAAATTTATACAGTTGACATATGGTCGCTATGCTCGTACTGACCGAATAGACGATTCGCGTCGACTATTCAACGTTGGATGTAGTCCGTGGTTCTCCATAGTATATTAGTTTCGACGATTTACGTTGCCTTGTTTACGAAGTTATTTAATGTACGTCCAGATATTTATAGTTATATTCATATGTTCCTTTTCTTATAGTCAATCCCAGCAAGCGGTATGACGATGTGGTTTAACTTGAGTAAGAAAAGCAAGCTGCGCCGACAGGGCGTGGTGAAGTTACGTCTCAACTTCTCCGCGGAGAAAAATTCACAAGTTGCCGCGCAGGAGCACAGACACTTGCTCAGAATACTGCTACTGCACGAGCTAGAGACATCTAAGGTAGGTTCCTTGCGTAAGATATGATGCATGCAGATGCTATAAACATTTGGAGTAAGCAGATTATTATAGATGTTCTAGCTAGCTGTAGGGTTATGTAGGACACAAGAGAGGACAGGCTAAAAAGTCGTAAAAAAAAGGGAACTGCAGAGTTTCTTACCTTTCTAGACTTGAGTAGACCATTAAGTGTAACACTTAAATACGTCTGTGTTTAAGATCGTTTCGTCAAGGCCGTCCGATATAACACCTGTCTATCGTGCTCGTACTAAACTTCATCAGTTTTACGATATATGCTTTTTCTGATATGATTGTTTGTATTGTAATAAAAATTGTAGGTGGCGCCGTATTGGTGGTGCGGTAACTTCAGCGCGCCCGCTGAGGCTATCCTCACACAGCACGCTGCGCAGAGCGGGCTCAGTCAGACTGACAACTGGCTGGCGCAGTGGACGGTCTACTGCGCAGTCACAACCAACCATCCTCTTAGCTTCGCACTCTTCAATCAATTGCTGGAAAAGGTCACGAAACCTTTGCAGGCTGGTAAGTTTGGAATACGATTGATAAGTAGCAAGAATATGCAAACCTTTCTTAGTAACAGTTTGTTAACATAAACCCAAAATACTCTATATCGACTTATTCATGGTAATGATTTTTAGTAGAATAATACTATAAATGTAGTACATATTTTATTATAATTTTCCAGGATTAGTTAACGAAGAGGACGTCAAATTATTCTGGGACGGTGCGAAAAAGTTGCTACCAACTTGTTACAGCCACATTAGGAAATTGAGGAAAAAGACTGCCGGCGATAAGACTGTGATGAAGACCCTTAGAGAAGTTCTGAAGGTCCTCTACCGTCTTTCAGTCCTCGATGTGCCGGAATCATTGGAATTGTTCCCTGTTAATTTGTACGGCTGGTTGAGGGATACTGACGATGGTACCAAATTGTCAATCCACGAAGTTTTACACCAAGCGGCGGTACAAGGAGCGTCCGATTGGTTCGTTCATATTCTTGACAATAATGAATGCAAGGACAGGACTGAGGACTCCAGGTTGCAGCATCTGATCAGGGTCATACAGTTGGTGCGGTCAGATCTGCAGCGTGCCGTGGAATATTTTGATAGAGTTTTCATAGAGTAAGTAATAAAAAGACCATAAAAATTTATTTATCAAAGGAATGGACGTAAATATTTGTTTTTTTGCAGAGTGATGAGTTTTCCATATTCGAAAATCTTATATGGTGTATACGAGAATAAGATAGCTTCGTTAGTTGAGCCTGAAGTTATACAAGTGTGTAAGAGCCTGAAACGGCTTCAGTACAACGAGGGGTCAACAAACAGTGTGCACCTCGCCGGCGGACTCAACGGGGACTCCCCGCTCGGAGCACCGCGCGTCAGCAACGAGCCATTGACAATGGGCACTACACTGTTCGAACTGTATCTAACGCTACAAAGGTTCTTGGCGTAAGTATATATATAGCCTTTTTCAAATAAATTTATTTATTTCAAAAATTATTAATAAATAAAAAGACCGATTATGTTATTCCGATTCATTCGATTCTTCAATTTTTTGAACCGTACCTTAATGAGTGCTAGAATCGATTTTAAATCGAATAAATCTTCACTACTATAAATTCAAGGATGAGATAAAAAAATTATAAAACTGTTTACTTTTCAGTCTTGGACAAGGTCTTAATGAAACCGATTGGAATTCATATTCAATATCAAAGTTCCATTCTTGGTTCTACGGGGGAGTGGCACAATGGTTGGATATAGCCGCATTCAAAGCTCTATCACGTATAGAAAAAGCGGTAGAGATAGATAACTTAGTACCAGTGGATACAAATGTGAAGTACAGCAGTTCTGGTGTGGACACGCTGGCTATATTCTATCAAATCAAGATATTTTGGCAACAACTCGCTTGGCCAGATGTAGAAGGATGTTATGCATTCGTTGCTAAAATTATTGATGTGAGTTCACTTTTTGTTTTTAATCTAATTTAGCAGTTACTTTGAATAAATTTAAAATGGCCGCCGCCACAAATTGGCGCTGATTTTTTTATCTTGAATATTGAATCTGAATTTGTCTAAATAACGAAGCGTTTTGTAGATGCGTTGCTTACTTTTAATCGACAGAGAAGGGGACTCACAGAAAGAGAACATTTCCCAGTCCTAAGCGTCTTTTCTTCATCAAATCCCTTTTCCTTTTCCATTTTTTCCTTTAAAAAAAAAGGACTAATTAGGCCTTCGAAATGCACAGTCATCAGACGAAACGCAAAATTGCTCCTACTTGAGCCGTCTTCTATGTAGTCGTAGTATTGCATCGGGCGAGGCTCACTATAGTGAAATTTGTGCAGGACATCTGCCGCTGCTGCGTGTTCTACTCGGACAAGATGTGCAGCCGGGTGGAGACTGAGGGTCGCGTGAGCACGGTGCTGGAGGAGCGGTTCGAGGTGACGACGCAGTGGTGTCTCGCCATCAACAACATCGACTACGTGCGCCAGAGTCTGCGCCCCTTCGTACACGAGCTCGGCATGGACGACATCATTAACACCATGTGTGAAGCTAGATCTCCCTTAGAAGCTCAGAGGTAATCATAAGAAATAATCCATCAATTCAGGTATACTCTAATATCCTCTTAGTAACAGGTCTTCTGACTATGTTAGTACTTAACTTTAACCATTTTCTTAATTTGACCGTATACTACGGAAGGTGTTGAGGAAGGTAAATAAAGGGATACTCATAGTGAACATATAGTATGAGAAATATTCATCGAAGGAATTTAAGTGACAATTTACCACTTTAAGTACGATTTAGTTTCATTACTTTAAAAGCTTAATTTTTTTCTGGATATAAATTAGGGATATAAAGAAGTCATTGATTATTATTTCCAGATGCAAGGAGACACTCCAAAATGTTATAGAAAATGCAATAGATACAGTTAAGAATAAAATCGTTGAGCTTTTAGAGATTATGGTGAAAAAGGTAAGTTAGATCTTTTGTTACCAAAAAATATCCCCAAAAACCCATTTACGTTGAATCAAACGAAATTTACAGTTGAATATTTGTAATACTTAATGCTCTACCTGATTGTAACTAGTAAAAACTATTTTTGATCCAGAAAAAACCGGTTGAAACCGGGTGAAACTCATTAAAACTTGTTGTCATAGTTTCTTTATTCGGTTATTCCAGATGATGCCGTCCATCACACGTTTCCTGATAGAGGGAGCGGAACTGCTGCATCAGAATTGCTCCAGTATGGACCGAGTCCTGCGTTATCTGGAGGCCAACCTTGACACACTTTACCAGCATTTGAATAATGAAAATTTCTCAAGAACATTAGACATTGTGTGGGAACAACTGGGCGAAGTTTTATATGAACTGGTACAGGCTAATTTAGAGGTTAGTTTTTTTTTGTATATATATTTTTTTAATTAATAATTAATTATTTATACTAATTTATAATATCATATTTCATTTTTAATCATTAAATTATTTTTGCTAATTTATTTATAACTTTAAGTAGATCCAGTGAAGTATTTTCGCAATTCGTTTCATCCGCAAATCAATTTTTTGCTTGATAATGTCCATTATTGGTAAAATATATAATTTGACGGTGGCGCCATCTATGTGCTTGGTTTATCATTTTAAATGTCATGTAAACGACAAAATATGTATTTTACAAAATAATATGCTACATTCTATGTTAGTTATTGTAAAACACGGCTAAACACTCACGTATATTCGTCCGGTGGCGGCACCGACTTCAGTGTTTAGTCGTGTTTATATTTCAGTTTAGTATAATGTCTCACGAAAGTTTGAATAATTTAAATGTGTAATATACAAATGATATGTAATTCAATGCTTCATTGGATCTATATTTGCTATTAGCTTTGGAACTAACATAATATTAATTCTCCAATGTTTGTAGAAAGAGAAATTAGACATTGCAACGCGTATTCGCCTAATAGAGCGTAGATATTTCGGCAGAAACAGAATAACACCGTACCTTGTTTTATTTCGGGTAATAATAAATGTTGGATTTACTCACGCTGGTGTTTGGATGCACAATTATTTTATTATTTTAATATTAATAATGCTTATTTATTGTTTTAATAGCACCGAAGGGCAAAGATAACTCGCTATATCGACCCGAGACGCTTGACCAAGTCAACAGCCGCCCATTTGGACGCGGTAATCATTTGGAATAGCACTTTGTGTACATGTCTTGCTATGTTATGTGTTTTACCCTCGGCAGCTATTATATACTGTATATCATACTAAATATATAAAGGTACAAGTCGTTGCCCGCGAATCCGTCCGCGCAGAATAAAAAACAACTTAATTGGTAGCCTTTGTTTTCTTCCAGACTATATTCTACATATAAGCCACATTTTAGTTAAATCCATGCAACCGTACTGGAGATACCTTCTAACAAACATCCATCCATCCATTCATCCATGCATCTATCTAAACTTTCGCATTTGGATGGATGTTTGTTAGATGGTATCTCCAAAACAGTTGCATAGATCTTGTTAAAATTTAGCATAGATATAGAACATAGTCTGGAAGAACATATCGACCTATTAATTATGTTTTTCTTTTTATTCTGCACTAATGGAGTCGCAGTTGACAACTAGCGTCGTCATAATAGAAGTTTAAAATGGAACTTGTATTGAAAGTAATTAATATTTAATGCATGTTAATATTTAATGCACGGCTAGAAATTATATAAAGACGATAAATTTATTTGGATTAAGTAAAATGACGTTGATTTTAGTATGTTTTTTGGAACTTTTAAACATAGAATTAAGTTGCCGCAGGGTCTTAGTTACTTTCCATATATATGTATAGATTATATGTTATTATGTTACATATACATGTGCTTACTTAGATAATCGTAAAGCTTTGTCTGCTAAATTTTGTTATGTCTGCTTTTTACATATAAATTTACGTAAACATTTATTTTTATTTTAAAAAGATGAGATGCTTAAATAATATTATGTTAGGTTAGAACTATAAAGCATGAAAATTAAATAATTTTTATAAATATAAGCATCTTGTGATTGCTTTTATGCATGAAATTCATACATACATATCACGTTAATTGCCTATATTTTTGGCATTTTATGATAAATATTAAATATAAATTTCTATTTCATACATTTAACTAAAGCAATCTGGAACTATATTCTAATTGAAATATGTTTAAACAACAATAATTTCATTTTTAATTTCATAAAATTCATTGAAAAAGAAAATACTCAAATGTAAATAATATTTACAAACACAAGTAAAATCAGATAGCACTATTATAATATAATTAATCTACGACATAATATTAATGTAAAATTAACTTCCAGAAACGTCGGCCGCCATCTTTCTTTTCGAACTTACACGAATGTCTGAAGATAATGGTCCGATCGTTCCGACAAGATAATAAAGAAGTTTACACATCGGAGACATTGAAGAGAGTAGAATATTTACTGAAGATCCACGGCATGGAGACAAGAGAACTCATCCATCAGTACCATTTAGAGAGGTGGCAGGAACAACAAGCTATTACTGAACCCAAAATGGGCATATTGACAGTTCGCGCGCAATTTATAGAAGATAATTTGAAAATAGAAATTATGAACGCCAGGAATCTTATGCCTACTGATTCTAATGGTATATATATTTTTTGTTTTTTTTTTCTGTACTAGTATATGGTTTAGTAGGCTAATGCCGTTTTAATATTGAAATGGATCTCTTTGTTTTCGAAGACTAAATTATATTGACTTTAAGTCAATATTCAGTTACTTTTATATGTAATATATAGAGGAAAGTTAAATATTAAAATTTAATTTGGAATAATTAAAACATAAAAAAAACTTATTAAATAAAGCCAAAAATTTTTTTAATGATTTTATTTAATTTATAAAGATGGCTTTAGCAAGTGACTAAGTTTTTTTTTAATTTCTATAGGTCTATGTGATTCCTACGTGCGTGTAGCGTTGTTGCCTGAAGACACTTTCGCTAACGTGACGAAACCCAAAACGCAGACACACAGCAAGAATCTGTTCCCACTCTACGATGAAATGTTCCTCATGTAAGTTTCATATTATTAATATTTTACGTCAATACTAAACTTGTAAGATTGTTTTGAAACACTGAACTAAATTACTTTGGTGGCATCGGTTTTTAAAAATGTTATAGTTATATAAAAGACAGATTTAAGTTTCAGTTTATTTATACATTTGAAAATACAAACGCTATAATAACACAGAAAACGTACAAAGTGACTTATCGTCAAAAACCTGCCCTTTCCAATCTTCCACAGATATTTACCAGACGTCATATATATTTTTTTATATCATAAGGTGGCAAACGAGCGAGCGGCCACCTGAAATCGCTGAAATAGCGAAGTGACCGTTGCCCATAGACATACGCAATATGCGTTGCCTACCTTTAATAGACGGAGGAGAGGATGCACAGAAAGAAAATATCTTCCCTTTCAATGCATCCTCTCATCCGGAAAGTCCACTTCCACTTCCCATCCTTTCCTTATAAGAAAAAAGGTGGGAAAGGTAAGGGGACTAAATTAGACCTACAGGCCTAATTATTTAATTCCCTTTTTACGTAAAGTATCTTTCACACAATCCAATACTTTCTTGGTGTTCCTCTATCTTTTTGCTACATACAACTCATTAATTTCTTGTTTTATTTGCTTTGGGTAAAAATTAACATAAATTTGACTTGGGATTGTCTTGTCAGTCCTCTATCGCCGGAGCAGCGACGTACAACAGACGGGCTGCTGCACCTGGTGGTGAAGGACAAGGACATGTTCAGCATGAGCAACGCCTTCGTGGGCGAGGCGTACTTACACTTCGGTGAAGTGCCCAACACGCCCGCGCCCATCAGCTCCCTGCCGCAGCAACATCTGCCACTCACCAGGCCGGATAATATAGGTAATAAAAAAAAACAAGAAAATCTCTAAGACAACTAACTTTACATGTCTGTAGCTAAGTAATATCAGTTAAAATATGTTTAAATAGGTTACAGAAAATCACAACGAAACCCGTGTGAAGTTACTATGTTAGTGAAGAATATCTTATCTTACTAATGTCTTACTAATATTATAAATGCGAATGTTTGGATGGATGGATGTTTATTAGAAGGTATCTCCAGAACGGCTACATAGATCTCGCTTAAATTTGGCATAGATGTAGAAGAAAGCCTGGAAGAACATATAGGTTACTGATTAAGTGTTCTTTATTCCGTGCGGACGGAGTCACGAGCGACAGCTAGTTGAAAATAAATTTGTAATTATTTTCTTTTCTAATTATACTGGAAAGTTTGTACCAATTTCTATAAGTTCGAAACTTTTATTTCAGATGGCGATGCAATCAAGGCTTTAGAATCTAGACAAGGAGACAAACAAGCCAGAGAGTTTCTTAAGAAGCAGAGGCAAAAAATGCCAAGCAAACAGTTCTTCTCACTCGGTTAAGATTGCCTACTAGTTGTATGGATTACGCACATGTTTCCTTATAAGGTGCTAAATTATCAGATAAATTGTCATATACAAAATAATAAAAAAAAACATTAAATATCATACATTTTATTTAAATAATAATGGCAGGTAATATTAATAAAATCCTTAGCTTTTAGCAATTTTGAATGTTTAGGAAAAACATTTGCGATTAAAAATCGATTCAATAAAGCAAATAAATCGATTCAATTATAGTTTTAATCGACTTAATATTTATTTGTAATTTTTTCTTTAGTAAATATTCAGTCGTAATCTCATAAGATTAAGTCTTAAAATTAAAATTGGCAATAAATCATATCATGTTTTTTGTAATTCTTTTTTATTGCAACATTTATGATATTTGGCATTTTATTGCATTAACTTGAGTTTGTATTTGGGAATGTTTTGAATGAATAGGTTAATAAACTTCAAAATACAATTAAAAACGGTTTTAAAGAATTCAAAGGAACTGGTCAGTCGACAGTAGGGGCGTTAGGGTAGACCCAGTTGGGGCAATTGCCCAGGGCGCCGGGCATAAAGGGGCGACGCAAGCACCGGAGTTGGATATATAGAGGCGCCAACGATGCTCTTTAAGCTTATCTTAGGAAGATTTTCCTCGATACTATTAAAAGGCGCCGTAAAAATCTCGCCCAGGGCGCCGGGAATGCTAAAACAGGGCCGGTTTTAGCATTCCCGGCGCCCTGTCGCAATATCCAATAGTTCATACAACTAATGATGTATTGCTTATAAGCGGGGCTAGACAAAAGTGCATTTGCTTAGAAGCAATTTCATAACGAACTTCAAAAATATATAGAACTGACCATAACTATTGATAAGTCACGTGATTGTTGCGCGTCAGTTATATACATTTTTGAAAATCGCTGTGAAATCGCTTTGGGGCGAAAGCACTTTTTCTAGCCCCGAAGATCTACAGTTTTGTATGTCGTAACCGCATGTTTTAAGCAATGTATAGAGATTTGAGTTAAGATGCGAGAACTTGCTGTTTTTTATGAAAAAAAAAAACTATCATAGTTGTAGATATCTTGTAGTGATGTTCTGTGATAGAAAAGAAGTGCCTTATCAGATACTTTTTTATTTTGTATTTATAATTAAAAAAGTACATAAATTAAAAAAAAAACTTCAAAGTGGCACAATGAAGTGTTACTTTCGTCTCAGCTTTTTTTTCTTTTTTTTTTAATTATTTTATTACTGTGCGTTTCCACTGACCATAAACAAATAATAATATGTTTTTGTACAAGTATAAGGGCAGTTGAAACACAAAGTAAGAGTAAATTGTATTTTACAAGAGAATATGTATTGTTTATTTATTTTAATAAAAGAAGTGCATATAAACTGTTTTAATTATTCCCCCTACGGGTTGTTTTATAAATATAATAGCTGTCACATGCGACTCTGCGTGAAATTTAAAAAAAACTTAATTAGTAGCCTATGTGTTCTTCCAGACTATGTTCTACATCTATGTCAAATTTCATCGAGATCCATGAAGCCGTTCCGGAGATACCTTCAAACAAATATACATCTAAACATTCGCATTTATAATATTAGTAAGATTTTTAATGTTAATTTAAAATAATAGATTGTTTACTGGAATGTTACTTTATAATATCGTACTGGCTCATTCATTATTTATGATTTCAAGATAAATCTATACAGTTAATAAAATTGGAATGTCTGTAATATAAAAATATTATATACATTATGTATTTGCGTTACTTATCTAGCCAATTTTGTTTCTTTAATTCTATGAAACGGCTGAATCGATTTTTAAGGGATTTTAATTAGAAAGTAACAGATATATGCAGATTATAATGCGATGTCTAAACATATAGATATATTTAACATGTCAGTGTTTAAAATCAAACGTCTATTACTAGATTACGCATCACTAGATCATCCAAATTAGAATGGTAACTTAAGTTTAATTTAATTTCTTAGTTATGTGCAATTTTTATTGTTAGTTATTGTTTCTTGGTTTAATGTGTATTACCTATAATAAAAACTTTTCTTTCTTTCTTTCTTATTTAATGATCGATTCTTTAGCTCTTGATTCCGATCCCGTGTAGTTACCATGTGTGACAACTTGTAATTAGCCTTAAGTTTCCATTTACATATTTATTAACCATATTTCTAATATAATACATTTCATATCCAAAAAAAATAAAAATATACAAAACATATTATATTAAAAACAGAACACCACCGGCTGCGGAATCCCATGACTCAAACAACTAGTGGTCAGGGCTGCAGAGACAGGAACCTTCTCACGATGCGCGCGCTTTCTAGGATAACTGTTTTGTATCGGGCCCTTAATCCAACTGTGTAGCGAGAGCTTCTTGAGATGTTGGTCGAAGCTCTTCGCTATCAGTCCATTTACCGATACGACTATCGGAATAGTGGTAGTCGATTTCATACGCCACATGGCGGTAACCTCGTGAGCCAAATCTAGGTATTTTTATATTTATTATATTGTTAGTTAGCTGTAAGTTGTTCTGTTAATAAATTAAAAAATAAAAATATATGGGGAAATAAGTCAGGCTATTTTTTTTTTGGTGAAGTCGCGCCACAGTTTAATAAATAACATTGTAGTACTTTGAAGGTTAATTACAAAGTTATTTAAACTGAGTTTTCATGGTAAAGTACGACCCAAGCAATAATTTCTCAATACCCAAGATACTCGCCTATTTAAGACTTTTGATGTCTCGTTTTTTTAGACAGAATGAGAGAACAATATTTTTATACAAATGTTCCGACAATGGAAACGCACTGTTTCCTCCAAAACATTAAAGTTAAGGGTGTAACCATTTTATAGCACGAGTGGGTATTTGAATTCGCCCCTTCATAACTGGGGTACTTAATTTTCACATGTTTAAACACTTTAAATCAAAATAATCTTTTATATACTTTAATGTCGTACTTGTACACGTGTAAACATTTCGCGTATATTATGTTTATTTTGAAGTTACCACACTTTCTAATTAAATTTCAGGACATGATAATTTTAAAAAAGCTGTAACGAAACAAGTGTTTAAATATATTAAATATTGTAAAAAGTACGTATCACTTTCTTATCCATGATGTGTCTAAGTATATAATGTAATCAAAGTAATCGTCATCCCTTTACCACGCGCTAATAGTTGTGTTCTACACGACCTTCGCAATATGTTTCAAGACGTTTAGAAATTTGAAAAAATTAAAAAATATTCTATTTTAAAAAATGGAATGTCCGGAATAAATCGTAATTTATGGTTACCTAATCAGCAGTATATACAGAATGCGGTGAGGCGTAGTAGCCGGTAGCTACGCGTACGTCGACGTACTTATAGTTGTTTACGCTAAATTAATTATACAAGCTGCTACTAGATGTCGCAGCAAACGAACCTTATTGGAATAACTCGAGGTTTGAGTACTTGGTTTATTGCGATATTAACCAAAGGTAAATAAATTGTTAAAACTGGGACTAAACTATACTTTTTAACGTGTTTAAGCTTTAAGGAACTTTTTTTTAAAGTTTAATAGTTCGAGATAGTTCTATAGAAATGACGTGAACGGAAATAAGTAATGCAGTCCAGTAACTTGGCAATCATCTTACGTCAACTACCTTCCGACAAAATCGGTCCAGCCATGTCGGAGATTATCTTAAACAAACATGAACTTGTGGACAGACAGACAAAAATTGTATCAATTAGATTTTCGTTATAAACTATAAATAAATAACATGTTCACGAGACAACTATTTTTTTTAGTATAACTTACTTTATTTAATGTAAATTGGCGTTTAAGCGTTTATACATACTGTATGCTTTTCAAATAATGTTCCTTTTATTATTTCTGTTCTGTGAAGAATTAAAAAATCATTGTTTTACCATAAATATACAGTGAAACTTCGAATTGAAGTATTGAAAATGTTCAATACAACATAAAATATAAGAATATTTATACAAAACAAATGTATCTTTTTCGATGTATTTGTTATCAATGAGTTACATCTATTGAATAAATTTCAGGGCAATAAATCAGAGCTAACTCATAAATTATGTCAGATAAAATCATATATAAATTAACTGTGAATTATAATCGAGTCTTGTGAAATCGATAAAATAAATTGGCCTGAATAAAAACTCTTACGATTATTTTACTCGAATCATGTTTGATAGCATTGTTGTTTCTCACTGCTTAAATACATTGCTATCCCACTCTATCCTTAAAAAAACAGATATCAATCTGTTTTTTTCAAGGTGTGTTTCAACTGTGGAAAATCACCTAAACATAATTATTAATCCAATATTCAGTTTACTTTGAATATTTTTTCGAATTCCTAGACAACAAAAAAAACATGATTTTTTTTTTTATTATTAATATACAGTATGTTTCATTGTACTCCACTAAACAGCAATAGACTAAGTAAATACTAGAGCAAACAGGTTGATCTATGATTGCAGTTAATACTTAATCGATTGCGTCCTGAATGTGTTAGTTAAAACAGTTTTTCTAAACGAAACATTGCAACGACTGAGAACTTGTTCAATTCTAAGCAAGTTTTTTTTAGTTTTATTTCATTCCATTACGATAAAAAATACCACTTGTAATAATTAAAAAAAAAAGTTGTTGGAAATAAAAGCACTAAAGATGATTTTATTATCTTCCATCCAATCACTCTTGGGCTCAGTCTCTTGGAAAGCTTGTCATATCCGGGTAAAAACCAGACGCCCTTTACTATTTACGCCCTTTGATAATAATAAATTTGGCAAATGTCCCATTTTCTACACAAATCTATAATCTGTCCCATGAGGACTTGCATAACACATCCTGTATCTGAATTAACTCAACCATAGTCCAGATATAGTTTAATTGCGCGCCTACGACCTATATACAGCGTGTCCGGAGTCCCGTTGTACTCGCCGTATCCTAACACGTTATAATATAGAGTTTACGGTATACATTGCTAGAATAATATACATTACTAATATTATAAATGCGAATGTTTACAAGGATGGATGATTGCGGGTATCTCCAGAACGGCGCAAAGGATCTTGATGAAAATTGGCAATGGATGTAGAACATAGTCTGGAAGAATGCTTAGGCTACTAATTCTTTCTTTTTAATTCCGCGCGGTCTCTGTAGCAGGTGACAGTTAGTTTAGAATATAAGTAAAATAAAAAAAAAAGGTTTAGTGTTACGTTAACTTTTTAAAAAATAATTAGAATACTTTTGCAATTAAAGGATCAAATCGTTCCAGTCGACAATTGAAAATTCGTATAGTAGTATGTACAATGAGCATACCTTCGTCACGCGCTGTCATACATTATGTCATTCAAAATTAAAAAGCAATTAATTAAAACGTCACCGCACAAAGGGCCGATCACACGTGACGGCCGGTGGTGGAAACGGCGCTGGTTCGCCGGCGGCCCCTTTGATGTCCTCCCTACGCTTTGATCGCGCCGCGCCGACAATCCGCCCGACTACTTATCGGTTCGGATTTATTATGATTCGGAGGCTGCGGGTCCGGGGAGCGGGCGGCGGTGGGGGCTAACTTTACTCCACTCGCAGACTGCGCCCTACAACTTCAAGGAGCTTTCCCATTCATACTAATTTCACTTTTGTCTCATTCTCTTGGAAACGTATTTTATTTTTTTGCGAAAAGTTGCTATAACGAAAGCTTCACTGAATCCTTATGTACTTACACTTTTTCAATAATTTTAACTAAGTTTTGTTTTAGCACCCTAGGATGGTCATAATCCTATAGACCCTCGTAGCACTTGAGTTACTCCTCATTCAGCCTTTTGGCTTCCCCGACTCATTTGTAGGATATGGTTGTTATTTCGCACGTATTATTTTGCGTAAATTATTAATAAATTTGTAGGTTGCTACGAATGTTTGGATAGATGAATGTATGTTAGTAGGTATCTCCAGAACTGCTGCATCTCGCTGAAATTTGGTACGGAGATAGAACATAGTCTGGAAGAACACATAGGCTACTTATTAAGTTTTTCATATCCGCGAGGACGGAGTCGCGGGCGACAGCTGGTTTCTAAATAAATGATTACAAATATAATGATTCATTTAAAAAAAAAAAAACTTTAACAACGTTGTGTGCGTGAGTGGACATGGTTATTGACGGGTGTTATATTTTTTGTCCGCTCGTATCGGCGCGGACTTCGGTAGCACTTTGAGAGGTTTTGTAAAAAAAATATTCTTGACCTTATTTGAAGCGATGGATGTTTTATTTGGTATTTTGTTATTGCAAATTAGTTTACATATTTATATTGGTCGATAATATTTTTTGTGTGAAAAAAAGTTCGCAGAATGTACTAACTTGGTGA